TTTTTTTTCAAAATATGTACTGAAATTTGAAATTTTTTCAACAAACATTTTAAAAAGTTACAGTATCAAAATTATTTCTTATTTTAAGTAGGAAGACTATTAGAGCATTTAAAAGTGTCTTTAATGCTTGAGTGATTTTAATGCTTTTTATCAAATGTACTTATTTTCTCATGGTGACAAAAAAAATTATCTACGTGAAAATTATTTTACAAAATCAATTTCTGAGTGATCTGTGTAGGGTGAGATTTGTTATGTAATTTTAAATTTAGCGGCGGCAGAATACCTAAAACAAATATTGAGTAGGTAGGTATATAGTTGTAGAGCGTACAACTAGATGGCGCTTGCATCTTTTACCGGCTACAGGTAATTTAACTCACTGTATTACCGATAATTCCTAGAAAAGGAAAGCAATAGAAGTTGGAGAAAGTGTCAACAGTTAGCGCTGTTAATGACCACGAAATCTGGTCAAGTTTCCTATCTATAGTATCATTTATCTAGGATGAAGCCTTCACCACCGGCCGGGGCGTGTGGTGGGGGATCATCCGGAGACGCGCGCGCGTGTGCTCGAAATGCGACGGCTTCATTTTCGAGCGCGAGCTCCGCTATTCGGCGCTTGTATACCTACTATTAGAAACATGCAACTAATAAACTTAAACAATTGTTTACTTAAAGCTAAAGGTTTAAACGATGAAAATTATAATTTTTTTAAATTGTAGGTAATTGTGCTGGCTAATCTACCGTGATGGAATATTTTATAAATATGCATAAATATACGTCCAAAAATTAAAAAAAAACGGTGACGTATAAAACTAGGGTGACGTATAAAACCTTACCAAAGCTGCAAAAATGAAGATACTTCAATTTTGAAAATTGCTTTTGGTTTTTGCATATTTACACTGTGTATACCAAATTTCAAGTGTCAGCAAAGCTTCGAACAAATTTGCAAGTTTCGAGTTTCAGAGGATGTATAAAACCATAGAGAACAAAAAATTTTGCTCTCCTGATTTTCGGCTTTAGCGTCATTATTGTATATACAGGGTGTCTCATAATTAGCTGCCAACCCTGAACAGGCCGATTCTATGATCAAAACTAAGTAAAAAAGTTCATATGAACATGGGTCCGGAAATGCTTCCTAAGGGCACAGGGACCCATTGAAGAGGGAGGAATGGAAATCATTTTTTTGCAATATCTCTCAATCGCGTTGTGATAAATGAATGAAATTTGGTATACACAGCTAAATTTTGATGAGCAATTTGATGGACTAATCCATTTATTTCCACAAGGTCCATTGGGGTGGGTACGGGGGGGCCCTTGGTACTTTGCGTGTGTAACTTTTTCATCTTTGACTTTTTAACAAATTGGACAGCAAATTCCGTTTTCCCGAACTGTTTTACGTTAAAAAGGTACTCTTGTTTCAAATCGTTATCTTTAACGGTTTCTGAGAAAATCGCTCTTGAATTAATCCCACTTTGGTCAATTTCATAGTAATTTAAACAAAAAATAATAATAATAATTTTCCTTTCCTCTCTTTTCCATTTAAAGGATTAATTTTTATTTAATTTAATTTTTTATTATTATTTTTTTATTAAAACTAGATTAAATTGAAACAAAATATTTTTTTTTGTTTAAATTACTATGAAATTGACCAAAGTGGGATTAATTCAAGAGCGATTTTCTCAGAAACCGTTAAAGATAACGATTTGAAACAAGAGTACCTTTTTAACGTAAAACAGTTCGGGAAAACGGAATTTGCTGTCCAATTTGTTAAAAAGTCAAAGATGAAAAAGTTACACACGCAAAGTACCAAGGGCCCCCCCGTACCCACCCCAATGGACCTTGTGGAAATAAATGGATTAGTCCATCAAATTGCTCATCAAAATTTAGCTGTGTATACCAAATTTCATTCATTTATCACAACGCGATTGAGAGATATTGCAAAAAAATGATTTCCATTCCTCCCTCTTCAATGGGTCCCTGTGCCCTTAGGAAGCATTTCCGGACCCATGTTCATATGAACTTTTTTACTTAGTTTTGATCATAGAATCGGCCTGTTCAGGGTTGGCAGCTAATTATAAGACACAAGATCAATTATGATATTGAACTATAGTTTTCGAAATTTCACGGTTAAATTGTTAATAACTTTGTTTCCTGATAAAATACTTTGTCAGCAAATTAACCTGTTATTGTACTGTACTCATCATTTAAAGTAGGCCTGTGTAGTTATTTCCGGGTTATCAAGGTTTGACACAGGTCGAACCTCTACCAACTGGATATATTGCTCGTGTAAATTACCGTTTTGGTGATCATAATTGGCCGCCCAGTTCATGCGATTTAATGCTGTTGGACTTTTTTCTTTGGGATTTTTTGAAATCTTAAGGTTTATGACAACAAGCTCACGACCACCCACGCCACGCCTTGAAGGAGGAAATTGAACGTTGTATCAACGAAATTCAGCGGCGTATACGAAAAACGGTCATGGAAAATTTCGACAAAAGAGTGCCCATGTGTCAGCAAAGCCGTGGGTGGCATTTATAATTTTTTCCTATGATTTTGTAATAAAAATATGTAAATATTACCTTGTATTTACTATTTACTTCCTTGGGTATATTTGCTTTATGAATCATTAAAAATATTATAATATTTTAGTTAAAAACCTATGTTTTCAATCAATCATTCGTGAATTTTGGAACACCCTTTATATATGTACTCACCCGTACAAGGCATTGCTTATCAGGTTGATCACAATCGGCAGGCTGTGTTGCGCAGTATCATTGTACAGTATGGTTATAGCGTAATTCGGGTATTCGAATTTGTTAACGTTAATAGCCGCCATGTGTGGGGCGATGTCCAGCAGCAAAGAAAAGTTTCCGTCGTATTCGTCCAAAGAGGTCACGCTTAAATTGAAGAACTGGACGAGCAGCGCGTCCAAATCATTTCCAGTGGAATTGTGTATTGCTATGTTTGTTGAACGGTAAGTTTTTCCACTCAGCACCAGGGGTTGTAGTTTTGGTTCGATACTTTGGACGCTGTTGAAATAAAGACCTAACGCCGCTAGGGCAAGAGGGAGTAAGATCATGAAGTACAACTTCTGGATGTCGCGTATTAAACGAAGGAATCGCAGGTGTAACAGCGCGATAAGCGTTTGAAAACTGTTAGGATGGCACTCTATTCTTTCTAATCCAATGCCGGTTATCGGTGATTTCGTCTCGCTTATTATTTCCAGACCACCAATGTGTGTGGTATCCCCGCCACCTAGAAAATAATTAGATTTACTAAATACTAACTTTACGCGCAGTTACAGTAGGTAAGATACTACTTAAAAGCACATGAAGTATTTAAAAATGATTCGCTCGTACTTTTAGCGTTTTTAAAAATATAGGATGTGCCGTAATTAATGGGATATTAGTTAAGGGGTGATAGCTGGTATGAAAATAAAGCGTTTGGTTCAACATGCTTTATCAAAATGTTACTCATTTCCGTTCTACAGGGTGTTTCATTAACTTTCTTGCAAATTATTTTTTTAAGTATTTTGAAAGCTGTTCAATAGAATTCGATGAAATTTGGTATCGTGTTATTACCCCACATGCATAATACGGAAATGGTATCAATTTCACTACCGTCGCTAGATGAGGATAACTTTTTTGTCCACCCTGTATTGATGAACAAAAATAAACAAATCGCATTCAGTTGCACACAAGAAAGGTGTTTGAACTCAAAAAAGTAGACCGTTTTCGAATTAAACGTAATTTTTCAATGAGATGATTAAATAAAAAAAATTTTTATATCAAAAGGTTATGCAAACGTAAACATTATATATCCTCAAGGTCTTCAATCAAATGATCGAAATAATTATTTTTATTAAGACTTTTACAAAACAATTAAATAAAAGAATATATAAAAAAGTAATTAAATAAAGATAAATGGTTGACAAAATAAATATCCGAAAGATGTTCTAAATTAAATTAATCTATAATAATCTTAAAAACAAAACAGCAACAAATTACAATAAATGTTGAAAGTGTTCCCTATTTACTACTACAATACACTGTCTAACCCTTATTCAAGTTTTGTCTTTCTTTAAAAGAAAGTTTTGTTATGTCTTGATAATGTTATCTCCTACAATTTTTTGTCATAATTCCTGGCGGTGTTAATTTTAATTTTATGAAAAAATGATTTTAGAAAGCCCCAATAGTAAATATCTACGAGATCTAGATCGGGACTACATGCTGGCTATGTAACAAAAGTCGGGAAGCGTAGTAGTTTGTTTGTTAGTTCTCGGAGCGGATGGGCCAACTCAGACAGTAAAATATTTCAGTCAACACTAATTATTGTAAGTTGAGGGCTCTCAAGTGGGTTTAGCGTCGTCCTTCGGAGAAATTTAGCAATATTTTTTTTGAACAACTTCACTTAGAGTCGGGGCCATGTGACAGTCATCTGTCGCGTCCGGGAGGCGCCAACCTATGCTGGGGCAGGACAAAGAAACCCATATCGGTAATAACGCGCGAAAACACGAGGGAGACGTAAAGGTTCCGAATTAGAATTAAATTAAATTGTTAAATTGATAATGATTGGAAAAGAAAGATATATGATAAGCTGTTTTTTCCGACAGGCTCTTTTCCCAGCTGTAGAACAATAGAATGACAAGTTTGACCAGCCCGTCTCGTATCGCGTGCGGTACGAGGTCACTAGAGGAAGGCTAGGGTTACTTGTAAGTTCAGTTAGTCACAGAATTATTTATATAAATGTAAGTCTAGTCAATTAGGTAATTATTAACATGGCATAGTTATGCCAAAGCGTCCCGATATCCAGGGTTCCCGCCAGTAAGATGAGAACAGAAACGTCTGGACCCAAGAAATGGGCGTGTCGAAGCGAAGTGTCGAATTGAGGAGAGATCTACGAGAAAAAGTCAGTTTTTCCTTAGGTTCCACATTGAGCAGTCGACTTAGTTTTAGAGTCTCGGGCTAATTAATTAAATTTAATAATGGATGAAGTTTTTTCCAAATTTTGCTATGAATCTCGCATTCCCTGAATCTCGGTACGCTGTCGCGTGTAAATAAATAAATTAATAATGTTGTTCGAGCCGTTGTGTCGTTATTTTGTTTGTTTGTTCTGTTTATTGTTATTAAAACCCTTCCTGGAAGTTTTGGTATTTCCTTTTGTTTCTCCCAACTTCAGTGTCACCCTATACAGTCAGTCACCGGATTACATTCTACGTAAGCAATGGATGGTGAGTGCTTGAAATTCATTCTCTGAACATACAACATTTCTAAGTTCCCACGTATTAATTAAAAGGTAATGATAATTATAAACTCCCTTTCGAGAATTAAATAGAAAACTCTTTTGAAATCCAGACTCGTTATGATACTGGTCATAACGGTATATAGATAATTAAAGAAATAACCCCTCAGGTTACAGCTACATGCGTACACTATCTCTACCAATCCACCCATGAGGGTAAACTTCATCTAGATTATTCTTAACTTCTAGGGTGTAATGTGCTGAGGCACTACTATGTATCATCATGTACCAGGAGTCACGTCTTAAATTTCCAAAGTAATTTGTAAATCATCTCTCAAAAAACTGAAATATGTTGCTGTGTCAAGTCTTGGTGGGAGTTCAAACGGTCCCACAATATAATCCCGAAGGATGCACACCAAACGTTTAAGGGATGCATTTGTGCATTTGAAAAATTATTATGACGTGGCATTTTAACACAAATTACAATAATTAAGTGGTTAATGAAGAAACTTACTGAATATCACTGCACGTTGACAAGTTATAGTAAAAAATCCCTAGTTAACCTATGCGTTGTTTTTAATACCGAATACCGACTTTGCAAAGAGTAAATACAGACTTATGCATCGAAAACTGTTTACTTTTTTGACTTTAAATAAGTATCTTTTTTGTGTGAAATTGAATGCCATTTTTTTATTTTCGTTTTTTATACATTACATACAAGATTGACAAAAAAATTATCGCCCTGTTAATGGACTAATTATGCTGTACGATACCAAATTTCATCCAAATCCATTAAAGAGCTTTCAAGATATTTCAAAAAATAATTGGAAAGAATGTTAACGAAATACCCCGTAGAACGAACATTTTGCTAAGGCATATTGGGCTCAAACGCTTTATTTTGATGCCAGCTATCACCCCTTAGCTAATGTCCAATTAATTATGGGACACCCCTATATGATGTATTGTTGGAATTAAAAAAACTTACAAAATAATAAAAAATAAAGAATATGTAAAACTTTTTCGCAAATAACTGCGTTTCTTGGACGTGAAAGTAACCAATTTACATTAAGTAGCCTGTGGTTTATAGATATTTCAAGATAAAAAAATTGTCAAAAACATAACATTTTTGAACTGACTGTTATGAGCAAACGCTCATAACAGTTTGAAATCTTTACTTTACATCGGTACTTTGCGATGGTCAATGCACAGGTTCATTGCGTCCTCTCCATTTATGTGGAAAACGAGCATATTAAATGTACATTGTGAAAAGTATTGTATTGGTATAGGTTAGTTGTTGCGCCACATGCTGCCGAATTCAACGATACAATTCTACATGAGGGTGAAAATCGTTTCTAATTAAAGTCTGCAAAATTGCACATGATAAGAGTGAGGCAATTATTCCCTTATCAAAAGCCTCACAGTAGTTTTTGAAATACCCATTTCACGTGCAAAATAGCGGTTACTGCTGCTAAGTTTTTTCCAACCAGGTGTAAGATATCTTCCTCCTTATTTAAAACATTAAGCGTTCTTCCTTGTTCACGATCTTCATACCACAGTCTTTAAACAACATTTTGCATTGTTCTGGGATTCAGTTGTCTTTGTTTGGAACGATTCGCAAAAAATCGACAAGTTATGTCATATTCATTAATATAATTCTTATTATGAATAAGGCATTCTGAAATAAAACAACATACAGGGATGGCCAAAAGTATGGAATAAAAGTCATATCTTTTGAATGAGTTAATTTTTTTAAAACGCCGAAACACGTTAACTGATTTTGATTTTTTCCCATCTTTTATTTTTTATTCCCAAGTTTTATTTTTTCAATAGCAAGCTTTTTTCATTTAGAAATTTAGAACTAGATAATTTACAAAAATAAACTCAATGTCGCAAATGCTGAAAATGTCCTCCATTCACTCTTTGGCATTCTCCAAGACGATAGTAAAAGCTGTCTACAGCATTCTGAATGACTTCAGCTGGTAAATTATGCATCTCCGCCTTAATCTTGTTCTTTAAATTCTCAATATTATCCGGTCTGTCCTGGTAGACTCTTTCTTTCAAATATCCCCAAAGAAAATAATCCAGGGGTGTTAAGTCGGGGGATCTTGGCGGCCATTCAACTGTACCCCGTCTACCAATCCAGCGATTTGGAAACATTTCATCTAAGTATCTTCGAACATCAATACCAAAATGTGGGGGAGCGCCATCTTGTTGGAACCAAATTCTTTCATTCGGTATATCTGGATCAATTTCATGAGGGAAAATCACAGCTAGAGCAGGTATCAGGTCAAATGTTAGGAAATCCAGGTAGCGTGCGGCAGTAAGATTTTCTTCAAAAAAGAATGGGCCCAAGATTCTGTTGTTGATGATACCTGCCCATACATTAACTTTTTGTGGATGCTGCGTATGCGATTCGCATGTCCAGTGTGGATTTTCCTGGGACCAAAAGCGATAGTTGTGCCTGTTAACCACTCCATTTAAATAAAACGTAGCTTCATCCGAAAAAAGTACGTCTCGTTGAAAACCATTATTGTCGTCACACCGTCTCATCATTTCCTCACAAAATTGTAATCGCCTATCATAATCGTCTTCCAAAAGCTCTTGGACAAGACATACCTTATAGGGGTGGTATTTCTCTTGTTTCAGAAACATTCGAATTGCAGTTCGAGAAGCATCGTGATTGCGGGCCAATGAAACAGTTGAAGTATGAGGATTTTCAACAAGTTCTAATGCAATGTCTAATTTCTTTTCTTCATTCAAAGCACGTGCCCGTCCAGTTTTGGGCAAAGTCTGTACTGTACCGTGTTCCTCAAATTTGTGAAATATTTTACTAACTGTCCCTTGCGAGATTTGGTTTTCGGGATATTTCGCATTAAATAAATCGCGCACTTCAGCCTGACTTCTTATTTTGTCTCCACATCCAAGCAATATCAAGATTTCGATGCGTTGCCTTTCCGACAATACCATTGCAATTCAGTAAATAACTTGATTTTGACACAATAGTAACGTTTCGA